ACTTTGGATCATTTGACTCAAGGAAGAATTGGGTGGAATGTTGTTAGTTCATATTTGGATTCTGCTGCTAGAAATTTATTAAATGGTGAACCATTACCTCCACATGCTGAAAGATATGAAAGAGCTGAAGAATATGTTAATGTGGTATATAAGTTGTTCTTATCCTCTTGGGCTGAAGATGCGGTTGAATTAAAGAATGGGGTTTTCACTAATCCTGATAAAGTTAGAGAAATTAACCATAAAGGTAAACATTTCATTGTTCCTGGTCCAAATATTGTTGAACCAATTCCTCAAAGATTACCAGTTATTTTACAAGCAGGTACTTCTAAAGCTGGTAAGGAATTTGCTGCCAAGAATGCCGAAGTTGTTTTCATCACCACTTTTACTCCGGAAGTTTTAGGAAAACAAATTGCTGATATCAAGAAACTCGCTCGTGAAAAATACAATCGTCCAGAAGGAAGCATTAAATTCTTACAATTGATCACTCCTGTCATTGGTCAAACGCAAGAAGAAGCAGAAGAACAATATAAAGAATTACAATCATATGGAGATTTAGAAGGTGCACAAGCTTTATTTAGTGGTTGGACCGGAATTGATATTTCCCAATATGATTATGGTGCAGATATTACCGCAACCAGTACTAATGCTGTTAAATCATTCCTTGATTTATGGAATAAGAAGGACCCAGGTGAAGCTGATCACCATATTAAAACTAGAGAATATATTGCTAAACAAATCACAATTGGTGGATTGGGCCCAGTATTTGTAGGTACTGCTGAAAAAGTCGCTGATGATATTGAAAGATGGGTCGATATTTCAGGGGTAGATGGTTTCAATATCACATATGCCATCTCTCCAGGTACATTTGAAGATGTTGTTGAATATTTGATTCCTGTGTTACAAAAGAGAGGATTGGTTTGGGATGATTATCCTGAAGTAGACCATCCTTTGACATTTAGAGAACAAATATTTGGTAGTGAGAGAAAGGAACCTCATTATTTGTTGGAATCTCA